TTTGCTTTCCAAAGGTGATAAATCTGGCAATCTTGGTGGCCATTCAATGGCACCTCTTCTATCAATCCATCGATCTTGAAACGTCTGATCTAAATATTGTCGAACACGTAATGCGTAATGTAGTGGGGCACCATCCTGTTGGAAGATCAACCTCTTCGCAATGTACCGCCGATCATTCTGATTTTCAATCATGGCTGTTAATGCAGGATCTATGGCGTCTTCCAGTAATTCCAAATACATTTCACCGGTCAAATTTCTAGGTAAGAAAAAAGGACCAACTAAATGATCGCCAAAAGTACCAGCCCAAACATTTCATTTTTGTGGCTGCTGTGTATGAACCTCATGATAAATTCTGGGATTAGAATCGGACCAATATCGGCAGTTATGACGATTTACTACGCCATTTAAGAAAAAGGAACATTCGTCGGAAAAGCAAGTGTTTAATTGAAAATGTTCATCGTTTATAATTCGTTCACTCATATCTTCACAAAATTGTAATCGCCGATCAAAATCGTCTTCATTAAGTTCTTGTACCAGGTGAATTTTATACGGATGAAAACTATGGGCCTTTAGAATCCGTTGGACAGTACGTCGACTAACACCACACACAGTCTCCAATTTGCGGGTACTTAACGTAGGATCTACATAAACTTGCCCTAAAACCCCCACTTCTATTGCTTCGTTCCTTATGGGATTCTCAATGTTGCGTTTTTTATTGGCGACTGACCCAGTTTCCCGAAATTTAGTTACGAGTTCTAGAACATATTTTTGATGCACGTTACTGTTCTCATGTCGCTCATTAAATTATTTCTGCTGTACTATTAGCGCACTGATTATTTCCGAAAAATATTTCGATAATTTCAACTCTTTTTGCTGTGGCATATGCCATGGTTAATTTATGTAATAAAGCGTTAAGAGTTATTTTAGCAACAAAGTTTGGTCAAATCAATCGCAAACTATGTACTAAATTCCTATTTACAATAAGTACGAGATATTTCCCTATCTTTCTTCAAGAAATAACTTTTTTGCTCCAAAAAACGCTCCAATAGCTATTTTCACCTATAAGGTCCATCAGCTATGATAGGAATTGACATGGCCAACCCATGGTGAGGCAACCATAGGAATCTTAGCAAAGAAGGTAACAGATTTACTGCTGTGGTTAAATAAGAATAGCCGTAAAGGTTTAGTGGGATAGTTCACTGGTTATTGCAGATTGCGTCGCCACATGGGCGGGCTGGGTATGCCAGAAGGGACTTAATGCAGACTGTGCATGGAGGGAGACGAAACTGTTAAGCATGTATTTCGCAGATGCCCTGCACAATTGCACAGTCAGGTACAATATACGTGGTGAAGCCGTGTTCCAAGTAGAAAACCTGGAGGATATTTCTCCAAATAAGCTGATCGAATTTTTGAGGAGGTCGGAGCTACTAGGAGAAATATAAACACGTGTGAGCCATAATAGGCCAGTGACTCGCAATGGAAGACCGTGAGTGGCCCATTCCCAATAACCTAACGTAATCACAGCATTATTGTAATGTCTTAGTTGGTATCAATAATACCCGGAAGTATACTAATGGTTTATTATATATCACCGATAACTGTTACAGATCCGGAACCCCGACATACTGTGTGTTAAACGTATCCCGGTGAGAGTACTCATCGTACATGCGCAATTTTCGGGGAACCAGGGGCGTACTTAATATACTACATTCATCTCCCACGAAAATTGTTAACAGTGATCAGATGGGTAACAATAAAAAAAAGAAACAATTAATGAATGGTTAGTATTGGAGCCTATCCGGTACCTTACGGATACTTATGGGTCGTGTAAGTTCAGCCTGTTCACCAATGGAGCTAGAATCCGAGTCACTGACATCCACGCGTTCACTATCCGCGATTCCGGCATCCACAAACACATCATCAACCGAACTACCGGCAGAAGTATTGCTGGCGCCATCACTATTGGAAAAAACGTTTACAGTGTGCGGTAGCTCCACGCAGGGTGGGTAGACCAACGAATAATCATCATTTAGTTCTCTGATCTGATTAGTATGTCTTTTCCAAAGGAAATTTGAATCTAGTGGTCGAACAACGTAAACGTTTTTCCCTAAAATTTTAACAACTTGTGCTTTACACCAAGTTACTTGTTTATCGCGATAATCTTTAACCAACACAATTTGGTCAATATTAAAACATACTTTCCTATTTCCTCTGAAGTATTTTGCGTTTCTTCGTTGAGAACGTTGTATGTTTTGGTAAACATTTTCCAGTTCAACTTTTTCATTGTCTTGGACTGAGCTTGGTCTAAGCATGTCAAATCGAGTTCTCAACGAACGACCTAAAAATACTTTAGCAGGAGAATAACCAGTAGAACAGTGAACAGTATTCCTATATGTCATAAGGAATTGAGCTAATAGTAAATTACAGTTCTTTTGATCACTAACTGGGGACCATTATCACTTGCAATAGTCTTAGGCAATCCAAATCTAGAAAAAAGTTCTCGCAGCCTTGTAATAGTCATGTTAGAGGTAACAGATGCCATCGGAAATACTTCAAGCCATTTGGAAAAGGCATCAACGACAATCAAAAAGAAATTGTTTTTCTTCGGTTCAAAAAAATCTATATGTATCCGCGACCAAATGCCCTCGGGTATTTGCCAACATTGTAACGGTGCCTTGGCCGGCGATGATTGCAAGCGTTGACATATGTTGCACTGCTTACTAACACTTTCAATATCATCATTCAAGGACGGCCACCAAAAGTAAGATCTCGCAAGATACTTCATTTTAACAGTTCCCAAATGGGTAGCATGCAACACCTTCAATATCACCTCTCGTAACTGAAATGGTATGATAACTCGATGTCCCCAAAGCAGGACATCGTCTTCAACATTGATTTCATTTTTCCTACTGAAATAAGGTTTCAATTCATTACTTTTATGACTTGCAGACCACCCCTTTTTAACAAAATTGAGTACCTCAGAAAGTACTGAATCTGAGGATGTAAGTTCTCTGACCTTGTTTACATCGACTGGTATACTAGAATCGGAATTAGTGAGATACTTTAAGTGAATGGGGAAGTCGATCAGTTGCACAGACATGTCATCTTCAATCGGCATTCTGCTTAAGAAGTCAGCTACATTTTGAATGGATGACACATGCTTGATATCAAAATTGAAGCCACTCAGAAAATGTGCATATCTCTACAGTCTATTTGCTGCCATCACTGGAACACCCGTTTTAGGTCCAAAAATTGACATGAGTGCCTTATTATCTGTGACCAAGGTAAATTTTCTACCCCACAAATATTGGTAAAATCGTTTAATACTCCAAACAATCGCGGTAGCTTCCTTATCCAAAATAGAGTATGCCAATTCGTTTTTCGAGAGAGTTCTTGACGCATAACAAATTGGCTTTTCGACATCACTTTCAAAAACATGAGATAAAATTGCTCCCACTCCATAGTCCGAGCTATCAATAGTCAAAGTAACTGGTAGGTCAGGATTATAATGCACCAACACATCGTCAGAACATAATGCAAGTTTAATATACTCAAATGAATCCTGACATGTTTTATCCCATGACCAACTTACATCTTTTTTCAAAAGATTATATAAAGGGTGAAGTATATCTGGGAGATTTCTGATGAAACGATTATAATAAGTGATACTGCCTAAAAAAGACTTAAGTTGAGTGACATTTTCTGGTGGAGAAATGTCGCGTATTGCCTTAACTCTTTCTAAACTTTTATGTAGGCCTGTCTCGTCTATAACAAACCCTAAATATGGAATGGAATCAGCCAAAAACACACACTTTTCTTTTCTAACAGTGAGACCACATTCGGAAAGACAAAGTAAAACCCTTTTCAAATTTCTAATATGATCTTCTTTATCGATACCTGTAACTAAAATATTATCAAGAAAAACACATACACGGGGCATTTTATTGAACAGCTGCTCCATAATTCTTTGAAATTGTGCTGGAGCGCAGTTTATTCCAAACGGCAATCTATTGAATTCGAATAAACCTTTGTGAGTCGAAATAGTCGTAAATTTTTTTGAAGAGTCCTCGAGCTCTATTTGATTGTAACCCGATGAGAGATCAATTTTGGAAAATTGCTTTCCATTTTTCAGTTTTGTGAATAAGTCGTCAATTCTAGGCAAGGGAAATTTGTCCACTAGATAGCTGAATTAATAGTTACCTTATAATCACAACAAATTCTTATTCCTCCATCTTCCTTCAAAATTGGTACTATTGGGGTACCCCATTCTGAAAACTCCACTGGAGATATTATACCATTAGAGACTAATTTATCTAATTCCTCCTCCACTTTACCTTTAATTGCAAATGGTAACGGTCTAGGTTTATGGAAAATGGGATTTGCATCAAGTTTAATATTTATGGAGATCTTACACTTGTTGAACCTTCCCAAATTGGTTGCAAAAACGCCAGGAAACTCATTACATAGAGCATCAACAGCATCGTTGTTCAAATAATGAATTTCTCTAAATCCCATATTATAATTCCTAATAAAATCTCGACCTAGGAGCAATGGATTGTTACCATCAACAACAAAAAAGCGTAGGATGCTATCTTTGAAATTAAATTTAACACTTAAGTTGATTGTGCCATGTGGGATGATCTTATTGCCAGAAAAATTAATCAAGGAAACATTTGTTTTTTCATGACGTGAGCACCAAAATATGTTTTGTAAACATGAAGTGGCAAAACACTAACAGCTGATCCACTGTCAAGTTCAAATTTCAACATGACATTCTCAACTAAAATATCGATATATAGTGGCACATCATTGTTGCTTCCTAAGCTAGAAATACTTAGAACTGGGGATGAAAAAACGTCTGTATAATCCTCAGCAATATCATTATTAGGAAAAACATAATTAACGTGCTTAGGTGAGGATTGTTTTTTCTTTTTACACACCACACTGAGATGACCCCTACCGTGACAAGAGTTACAAATATATTCCTTATAGGGGCATACATTACTGTTGTGGTTCCTCCCGCAGCGGAAACAGCCCGGAGAGCGACCAGACGATGTGAACGGCTGTAGCTGCGGCAGCGCCATGTTTGAGCTGTTGCCCCCACTCCTGCGCGTGCCTCCTTGGCTCCGCTGCGCTGCAGGTACTGCTGTCCCTCATAATACCGTTGAGGATCATGATGTTGATCGGCAGTGGCACCAACATTTGAATTATTTTGTGTAATTCGAAAAACATCGGATTCTAAGACCTCGCTTTTAACTTCACCAACTGGGTCTCTTATTACTAGCGCTGCTTCGATAATTTTGGCCTTTTCAACAGCGTTATTTAAGGTGGTGTTCTCGTTTAGGGTGAATAATTCAGTTCTCACCTTCCCAGGATTGAACTGCGTAACAAAAATGTCCCTTAGCTTGGACTCAAGCTGCTGACCAAAATTGCAATAGCGAGCTAAACCTTTAAGTCGTACACTCCATTCTAGTGCCGTCTCATTTCCTGATTTGGATGCACTATAAAACTTCTGCCTTTCGACCCATACAACAGCAGTTTTACCATAGTAGTTAGACAATAACTGAACTATGTCTTGGTATGGGGTTTCTTCCGGCTTTTGCGGCATACATAAATTTTCTAATAAAATATACGCCTCCTCAGACAAACTATACAGCAAATGAGCTCTCTTGTCAGCTTCTTCAGTGACCCCGTGTACTATAAAATACTGCTCTAACCTTTTGAAGAAAACTTCCCACTCGTTCTCCTTGGGATTGAATGTGAGCACGGGACCCGCTGCTGCAACTGCCATCTTTCTTGTGCACAGATTGGTTCACCAACAACTGGAGGTTTCAACACAAACGGGGAGTTTACACACACTTAACCTCACCCGGCGAGTCCTTTAATAACCCTCGTCGCCATGTAATGTCTTAGTTGGTATCAATAATACCCGGAAGTATACTAATGGTTTATTATATATCACCGACAACTGTTACAGATCCGGAACCACGACATACTGTGTGTTAAACGTATCCCGGTGAGAGTACTCATCGTACATGCGCAATTTTCGGGGAACCAGGGGCGTACTTAATATACTACAATTATAGTGATGAAAAATATTTTAAGCAGGCCAATGGTCAATAGAAGCTGCTATCGCTGAACCGAATGCGTTCATTGTCTATTTCTGAACTTCATTGTAATTAGTTTTATTAGATATAGGTAACGCTATTCTTTATAAGAAATGAATTACCTTCTAAAGCTGCTAAAGTCTTAATTTTTTTATTAATTACTAATTGATTGTGTTAATTTTAACCAGAATGTTTTCCAGAAGCCACTTCATTTCAACATTAACTATTAATGACTCATAATTAGTGCTTGCGGACTTTGCAGTTGCAGGCAACTACATTTCTAAATTTTCTTACACTAGAACTGCAAAAAGGCTAAAGCCTAAATTCGCGACTGCCGTGATATATAACCTGTATAAAATATTTTGACGAGGTTTTAAAGATTTTATATACACTTTGTGAATGAGACAAACGGGTGATGATAACCAAGCTAAAATAGGGGGCAGTAGCCTAGCGAGGCCTTAGAGCAGGCTCAAAATGTGACTATATCAGTAGAGAGTAAAAACTACCTCGTAGCTTTAAACATTAAGCTGTCTAGCTTTGTAACTCAAAGCCATAGTATCGAAGACTGATATTACGGAGTAAGAGAGAGATATATAGAGGGAGAGATCGGTAAAAATAGGTAATTTACCTCTAATAACCGTATTCATTAAAATCACAAATTTCTAATGCACTATTATGCTCCATTAATTTCAGGTTTTCCATGCGGGTAGATTTATGATAATATTGTTATCATTGATACTGGAATAGCAACTCTACAACATTCAATAACGTACTCGCACTCATTATTAACAAATGCATAATAATTTGAACATAAAGCGGTATTTTGCTTTGAGAAAACTAATCGCCCAAAAACCGTTTTCATTAATTCATTTGTGCTCTTTTTTTTATAAAATTAAATTAAATTTCATCATTAGTGAAAATATTGATAATATCCAGTCACTGCTCTGTTCGGCATCCTGTTAATTGATATCTTATCGCAAAATATGGCACAACATACTAAAATTAATTTAACTTATCAGGTATAAGCAAGAAATAAATTATAGTCAAGAACCTTTTTGGACAGGAGAAAGCTTTTATAGCCACTCTCAGACAGAACAACTTAAGAGTTTTATCGGTTGGACTTTCCTGCTCGAAGTGTGAGATTCTCCAGAAACGGCACACATATCCCAACACAGCAATCCTTGAAGTATCTCTTCATGGTCGGTAGTGTTGCGCTAAGTCTTTAAAGGTATTAATCATCTATTCTTCGTCGTACATATATATATATATATATATATATATATAACTTGAGACGTGGTCATTGTCGTCTAGACCAGTTAGGTGAAAAATTAAAGCTTCCGCCTTTTGTTGGGTACTTCGACAAGATTTAAGCAAAGAGGACTCTTTATACTTTTTTTAATTCTCTCTAGCTTTCAATGGACTTTGCCATCATCATCAGGAGCTGCAATTACAATGATAACAGTAGCAACAAAGGTGTAAAATGAATTTAAATTGACTCAACTTACAGTAGTATGTGAGGATGTTGCTAATTGTTGTTTACGTATAGGATGAGGGAAACGTCCAGTAACATGGTGAGAGCTGAATAGATTGCACAATAGTCAAAATTTATACAAAACATGACAAGAACAAGTTAAAAACAGATTAAAAATTATTTAAAAAAATTTTAAACATTACATCGTGAAACCACCTGATGATTGCACAAATTAGTGGTCATGGAATGATGAATTGATGAGTGACATGAAACCCTTTGACAGAAGGCCGAAGGATGTCATTGTCAGTATTGAAAGATGGAACGAATTGTGGGCGTGTGCCAAAACGTTGCCAAATCACTTCAGATGATGAGATTTTTAGAATTTTATGTTAGAATTTGTTAAACCGACCAGAGGCAGTTGAATAAACTATATTATTATTAATGGGAATTTAAATTAACAATTATTAATAAATCGTGAGGAGAGAATTATTATATTTTGAGTGGAATGAATTTTACTGGTGGAAACGGCCAAAACACAGATTCTAATTATGGTTGTGAAGAGTTGAAATTTGGGGAGATATGTAAGTTCTCCAATTTTTCGCAGTTTAGCAAATATGAGTAAATGACACTCAGTTGTTTAACATCTGTCTTTTTGTTGATACAGTTGTTATTCATGAAAATGTGGGACATTTCCAGGAATAAACGTTTGGAAAGGTGTTTTTCTTTATCAAGAACTTTGATACTTGTGTAATTCATAGAATGCCCTGTTGTGTTAACATGAGATGCTAGAGCGCATCTTTCAGGATGTAGCCTAGCATCACTTTTGTGTGATGTAATCCTTCCTTTAAGAGATCTGGAGGTCTGACCTATGTATATTTGGTTGCAGTTGTTGCAATTGATGGAGTAGACTGTGTTGGTTAAGCCAAGCAGCGGGACTTTGTCTTTCATTTTTGAAAAAATGCAGTTTATAGTGAGGACGAATTTGCAAGCAATTCGAAAGTTCAAAGGACTGCACAATCTGATCAGCTTAGGGGTCAGTTCCTTGATGTAGGGCAGGACAGCAGGATGGTGATGCAGGTAATAGTCGCACAACCCCTAATAACGGAACTGATGTAATTCCCAATAATAACATCAATCCTAACAGTACTAGCACCAACCCGGACTCCAGACCTGGTTTTGCTGTCCTGCCCTACATCAAGGAACTGACCCCTAAGCTGATCAGATTGTGCAGTCCTTTGAACTTTCGAATTGCTTGCAAATCCGTCCTCACTATAAACTGCATTTTTTCAAAAATGAAAGACAAAGTCCCGCTGCTTGGCTTAACCAACACAGTCTACTCCATCAATTGCAACAACTGCAACCAAATATACATAGGTCAGACCTCCAGATCTCTTAAAGGAAGGATTACATCACACAAAAGTGATGCTAGGCTACATCCTGAAAGATGCGCTCTAGCATCTCATGTTAACACAACAGGGCATTCTATGAATTACACAAGTATCAAAGTTCTTGATAAAGAAAAACACCTTTCCAAACGTTTATTCCTGGAAATGGCCCACATTTTCATGAATAACAACTGTATCAACAAAAAGACAGATGTTAAACAACTGAGTGTCATTTACTCATATTTGCTAAACTGCGAAAAATTGGAGAACTTACATATCTCCCCAAATTTCAACTCTTCACAACCATAATTAGAATCTGTGTTTTGGCCGTTTCCACCAGTAAAATTCATTCCACTCAAAATATAATAATTCTCTCCTCACGATTTATTAATAATTGTTAATTTAAATTCCCATTAATAATAATATAGTTTATTCAACTGCCTCTGGTCGGTTTAACAAATTCTAACATAAAATTCTAAAAATCTCATCATCTGAAGTGATTTGGCAACGTTTTGGCACACGCCCACAATTCGTTCCATCTTTCAATACTGACAATGACATCCTTCGGCCTTCTGTCAAAGGGTTTCATGTCACTCATCAATTCATCATTCCATGACCACTAATTTGTGCAATCATCAGGTGGTTTCACGATGTAATGTTTAAAATTTTTTTAAATAATTTTTAATCTGTTTTTAACTTGTTCTTGTCATGTTTTGTATAAATTTTGACTATTGTGCAATCTATTCAGCTCTCACCATGTTACTGGACGTTTCCCTCATCCTATACGTAAACAACAATTAGCAACATCCTCACATACTACTGTAAGTTGAGTCAATTTAAATTCATTTTACACCTTTGTTGCTACTGTTATCATTGTAATTGCAGCTCCTGATGATGATGGCAAAGTCCATTGAAAGCTAGAGAGAATTAAAAAAAGTATAAAGAGTCCTCTTTGCTTAAATCTTGTCGAAGTACCCAACAAAAGGCGGAAGCTTTAATTTTTCACCTATATATATATATATATATATATATATATATAGATTCGCACCCATGTACATGTAGAACCGAGCAAGCAGGAGCCTACTGTTGGTTTCATGCTCTGTTTTTGTCATCCTCTATCTTGCTCCGTAACATTCCCTCCACTATTGGTTTAATGTCGACCCGTTTGCCCCCGCCTACATGCCTGGTAAAATTTCCAGCAATAAAGTCTTGCCGAGCGTGAATTTCAGCTGTCTCTGGCAGTCAATCCATCTACCACACTCGATTGGGCGATCAGGCGTATCTCCGTGATTACAGTATACGCAGTTTGCGCATTATCTCTTCTCTCCCTCTTTAAGTGACTGTCAAAACAAACATGTCTTGTGAGCAACTGTGCAGTAAAATAATCCATCTGCATCATTCCCAAGTTTGAGATCAGCCTTCTAGGCATGAACCATGCCAGTTGCAATACATCTCTTCTGCCATCTAATAAAATGCGCCTCTCTTTAGCTTCTAGCTTCGGCGCCCTTTTTATAGAGATTGCGTCTCTCCTCAGTCAGCAAATTAATGCAACGCGATACCAGCTACCACTAGCTGTGCATCTGTCGACACCGTTATCTAAGCGCAGATCACACGCTTTTCGCTGGTTTCTGAGCATTAGCTGCCTATAGTTCTTTTTCCTCAAGGCCTTGTTATAAATAGGTGTTCAGAATTTGCCACACCTGCCAAAACACTACGCCCCTCACCACTGGGGCCTCCATCATCAGATGGGACCAGACGTATAAGGAATGCCACGACTCAGTCACGAATCAGCGATGTACGGGGTGGCCAACTAAGAATGCGTAGTACT